CTCGAACAAAACCAGCGCGAATCGGTTAGACAAATGAACAAACGATTGTATCGTGTGAGTCCGTCGTGTCCTTGATTCGACGAAACAGCTCACAGGGAGAGTGCAAGTCTTTAGGGTCATCGATTTAGTTGAAACTCTGCAGATTTGTAGATTACGTCCTGCAGTTCAAAAAAATATACCATCATAGCCGCAACAACTCAATAGTTTTTAAGATATTTACGATTAAAGTCTTATTACTCCGCCTAATTACACGTTTCATTTCAAGAAATTTTTAAGTTTGGTTGCAGTGTAACAGCGAAAGTCGAGATTTCCCATGCTGGGGGACCGGTGTTCGATTCCCGTCCATACATGTGTATATATATTAAGGGTTTTGTTTGGTACATTTTTTTCAATCTATTTTTTATTTTGTATTCATTTTTCGCCTATGAAAATATTGTAAATAAATAATTGTAAATAAAATTTGTGAATAAAAAAATTTATTTTTTACTCCTTCTTATGCTAGTATATATTTATTACACAATATTAAGAATATTATGCAAAGAAAAACACTTTTCTATAGCAATCTTATTTACTACAGAAAGAGAACGAAAGTATAAATAATCATTAGATACAGGAAATACAAAACCTATCGCTCATACAAGTATTAATTATTAAATTAAACATTATACAGTATTAATATAGGAATTATAGTATAGGAATGTTGCTATAATTACAACTTTGCTGTGCTACTATAAATGTTCATGAATTAATTACAAAAACTTGGCAATTTGTTAATTTTCTATTGTCGAATTGATTTCTATTATCCAGTTGGAATACAAATTTTACCGCCTGCGATCAGCGCCATCTATGATTTGGGCTCAAAAATCAAGAAAGTGATAGGAATATAGAATAGGCAAGGAGGTCGTCGAAGAGCTGATCACGTGGTAGACAAGGACAGAGAGGGGATAGAAAAGGATAGAATGGCTCCGGCAGTGAAGAATTATTAATTACTCAATTTCCGTAAACAATTTGTCAACTTTTATAATTTCGTTGCAAAGCTGGAACTTCAGGCTACATTCCTATATAATATTCGTAAAGAATTTGGCTCTAAATTGTTAGTTATTAATTTTTGTTTTATGGCGTCTATGATTTCGTAACGGCGACCATCGCGACCTTCCGTGCAAATATTTATTACTAAACGAAACTAGAAGCAAAATGTGATCAAAAGTTATATGAGAAGATTCGCAAGGACATTGTCTTTCTAACGAGTGCATAAAGTTTCATAAATTAATTGCGTAGAGGATAGTAATTAATGAAAAACCAATGGCGTCTTCGACAATTTTCGACAACAATTCAAACACTGCGCAGAACAATTATTAATAATAAATTAATTAGGGACAAATTTATATGGAAAGATATATGTGAAAGTTCGTGAAGGATCTGGCTTTACGATGCAATTATAAAAGTTCATAAATTAATCACAGATATTGAGTAATTAGTGAATTTTCCACTGCCGATTTGATTCATTAAAATATATGCGGAGCACATAACCAGAGTTAGTAAACTGACATCAGGGCCATCTATGATTTTAGACTCGAAGCTCGAGTTCCGCAACGAGAGCATAGATCGCTCTGATGTCAGTTTACTAACTCTGGTTATGTGCTCCGCATATATTTTAATGAATCAAATCGGCAGTGGAAAATTCACTAATTACTCAATATCTGTGATTAATTTATGAACTTTTATAATTGCATCGTAAAGCCAGATCCTTCACGAACTTTCACATATATCTTTCCATATAAATTTGTCCCTAATTAATTTATTATTAGTAATTGTTCTGCGCAGTGTTTGAATTGTTGTCGAAAATTGTCGAAGACGCCATTGGTTTTGCATTAATTACTATCCTTTACGCAATTAATTTATGAAACTTTAAGCACTCGTTAGAAAGACAATGTCCTCGCGAATCTTCTCATATAACTTTTGATCACATTTTGATTCTAGTTTCGTTGAGTATTAAATATTTTCACGGAAGATCGTAATGGTCGCCGTTACGAAATCATAGACGCCATAAAACAAAAATTAATAACTAACAATTTAGAACCAAATTCTTTACGAATATTATATAGGAATGTAGCCTGAAGTTCCAGCTTTGCAACGAAATTATAAAAGTTGACAAATTGTTCACGGAAATTGAGTAATTAATAATTTTTCACTGCCGGGGCCATTCTATCCTTTTCTATCCCCACCCTGTCCTTGTCTACCACGTGACCAGCACATAGACGACCTCCTTGCCTATTCTATATTCCTATCACTTTCTTGCTTTCTGAGCCCAAATCATAGATGGCGCTGATCGCAGGCGGTAAAATTTGTATTCCAACTGGATAATAGAAATCAATTCGACAATAGAAAATTAACAAATTGCCAAGTTTTTGTAATTAATTCATGAACATTTATAATAGCACAGCAAAATTGCAGTTATAGGCAACATTCTTATACGACGTTTAATTTAATAATTAATACTTACATGAGCGATAGGTTTTGTATTTCATATAGTACATAAGATTGCTATAGAAAAGTGTTTTTCTTGGATAATATTCTTATTATTTCGTAATAAATATATACTAGCATAAGAAGGAGTAAAAAATAAATTTTTTTATTCACAAATTTTATTTACAATTATTTATGTACAATATTTTCATAGGCGAGAAATGAATACAAAATAAAAAATAGAATGAAAAAAAAGGTGCAAACTATGAACGGGAATCGAACTCCCGATCATACAGCATAACAATTCTCGACTGTCGCCGTTAAACCACGACTGCACTTGAAAACTATTGGAAATAAATCTAAAATTAAAGAAGTAATAAAACTTTAATCGTAAATATCTCAAAAACTATTGAATAGTTGTGGCTATAATGATATATTTTCTTGAACTGCATGATGATATCTACAAACCTGCAAAGTTTCAACTAAATCGGTGACCCAAAGGACTTGCATTCTCCTTGTAAGTTTCGCGTTGCTTTGTTCCTGCAATCCCTCGCTACGTGTCCTGTTCTGTTAGAATTGTAACATTTCTGGCTATGTGTCTCATATGCGATTGCATTATCTGGTTCTTCCTTGTCTTCGATTCTTGCTTTTTCTGCTATTAACCTTACAGTCAAATTCTCCAACGTCTTCTCCTTTTCGCTGATAGACTCCTATGCAGTCATGTACAGTTGTGGTATACTCTTGTGGTAAGGTAGCTAAAATTTTCATCATTAATGTATCCTCATCTACGATAGTGTCCAGTATAGTTTAGTGTTCTTGTCAAATGAACAGTTGTAAAATTACTGCAGCGGGTTACATATTTGCTGTTGGTTATCTCACTGCAAAATTACATTGAGCTCCTCCTATATTTCATAGGCAGTCTCGCAAGTGATTATATGCATTAGTAAATTCTTTTCACTGGACATTACAATGAATTTCTTTACCTTGGCACCTTTTAATATCCATCGAACTTCTCCATTTTCTTCATATACTTTAGCTTCATCTTTCTGAAACTTAAAACATTAATGCTGGTCATTAACTTTGAACACTGCTATCAATATTTATTCAGATCAGGAACACAACGTACCTTTCAGACTCACTGTGTTCCCAATATCTTGTTTTTACAAGAGAACATCACCTGAAGGAATTTTATTTTCTTTTTATCTGTCAAACCCATCTTCCTTCCCAAGTCTTTATTTCACCAACAAATATTTCTGTCCTGCGTGTCATATGGCTAGCCGACCTAGAATCCAATAGACATATTATTACTGCTTCAATCTTGTCTTGCCATAAAAAATAATTCTTGGCATCTAATGGCTCTATGCTGGTGATATTCCACGAGCCCAATATTTTCCTTCTGTTACACATGCCTGTTTATTTCAACAGAGTATTGCCTTTTTACAACCAGACTCTGCAACCACTAATAAAAGTTAGAAAAACAATGGCTTATATCTTACGCTATTTATTTACAACTTGAGGTTATGTTAATACAAAAACTTACATTTTTTTGCGCAATGCAGGCCTCCACCTCCATGGACACACAATGCTTCCCGTATCTTTTTGCAATTTTTCTCTCATTTCCCATGTACTCTTCTGATCCGAAGGACTTGCACTCTCCTTGTGAGCCAAGTGGTCCACGATGGCATGTAATAACTCGGTTATGTACGCGACGTGCCAATACCAGTTCGCTCGAAATGAAAACAAATAAACAAGCCGTCGATGTTTCGATGACGGATATCGCTTTACGTCCCTATTCTGTGCATCGAAAACGTCGGAAAGAACAAAAAAGAGAAACACAAGCTCCATGATTATTGGACCAGTACCTTATTTATTTTAATAACTTTCCCGCTTTTTCTCATTTATCTCGCTATAGAACGCATAATCGCGAAATTTACGATATTAGTAAACGTTTCGCGGAACGTTTCTTCCACGAATAAGCTTTGCCAGCGTTTATTTTAACGTGATCAAAGATAGTTGTATTTTTCTGTTTCCCTTTTTCTTTTCTAAATCCGTCGCCTTGTAAAATATTAAGTCGAATTCGTACAAGTATAACTGGAGCAAACAATGCGACGATGTATGACGTAAACGAATGCGGACAATTGCAGTCACGCAAACTAGATAAGAGTACGATTACGAAGGGTTGTGACAAATTTCAAGACATCGTGACACGAGTGCAAATTCTCGCATGTTTCGCATTCCATTCACGGAATAAAATTAACCATCCAGTGAGATAAATAATCGGAGTTAATCGGATAATAAACCGACTCGAAGATAACGCGTATGATACGATACGATTGCACGATATTGATGCATCATATAACCAGTCTAATTAGTCAACAACTTTATTTTAATATCACACAATTATTGTTCGCTATCGATTTAGCGAAAAGGGATACTAGTTACAAAATATAACAATGTTTCACAGTAAGGAAGCACGAAATACAAAATGCAATTTTCGATTGTTTCACAGTTCGACAAACTACTTGGCACATTTTCGGATAAAAGGTATATAAAATTTCACGGTGACGCATACGTGTAAGCGTATGATCGTTCATTTGTACTTATATTCGAGCCATTCCCTTAACCGAATAAAAGACTTTTATGTACACTTTACAATAAATCATCTTCATCGTCCGTATATTCGCATTCCTCTATAATTTCGTTGTCGTGTTCCCGCGACTCGTCGTCGGACAAATGCGATTCACCTTCCATAAACTTGGCAAACCTAAAATCACGCGTGTTAAATTACGCTTCATTTGCGGCTTGACATATTAGACTTACTCTTCGAACACGCGCGCACACACACACACGCGCGCGCAAACTTTTATCTAAATACGTATATAATATAAAAACCTTATCGGATCTTTTAATTTTAATATCGTTTCCCATGGATTACATTTAGGACTAGCGCAATATTCTTTTAGCTCGGTTATCGCTTTTTTAGTTTCTCGTATTCCTTCTTTACGATATTCGTCTTCTGTTAATAACTTTCTTCTTTCGGGGAACAGGTTCTTCCTGATTTCGAACAGGTGTACACATGTAACATACGTTCTTGCTTTTCTAAACGATAATACTAGTGCTGTCGTTACTATTATTCCATTACTATCGTTCTTACTATCGTTACTTTGACTAAAAACCGATATTTTCAAAAATTCCCATCCACGATTATAAATGCCAATGGATAAGCGTTAACAATTGCAAAACTAAAAATACCGATCCGCAGTGAGAAACAAACGATAAAATTGAAAAGTACTATGTGCACATTTTTGCGAACATTGAAAAGCAAAAAGCGTCAACGGGTCACGGAAAAAGGCTTAACAACGCTGGGTAACGTCCAACAACTTGACTTACCAGTATCTTCGCCCTTTTTGAATTATTACAATGGGAAAATTATAAAGTAGGATAATTAAGATACAACAAAAAGATGATGCTTCACGAAAATAACTGCTATGATACATGGTAATCAGTCCTCCTATCTAAATAAATGAAAAGAAAAAAACAAAAAAATGCATTAAATGGGAATAATGAAATGATATATATATAAATTTTCTTTTCTTTCTTTCACAAAAGTTTTGAATCGTTACTTTTCATCAGAAGCTCGTTATTGTACAGACCTGTAGAGACCATTCGATAAGTTTTTTCGTTCTAACATTTGTAACTGGGCCAAACCGATAACAAATGACGAAACTGATGCAAGACGTTAGTAAAATGTACCATGTCACCCATTCCCTGTATTGTATCACGATTAGTTGAATATTTTCCCATAACATTTGGATTAGATAAAAACTCATTGTCCAACCAGTAGCAACCACCAAGTACATCATTTTACCCTTGAATCGTATGCGTTAATTAATTTCAGATAAATAAACATCGCGAAACACGCGTGAACGAAACGTATATAAACACCATTTACCCTCAACAAAAATTTGCTAAAGAAGTATACTAGTATTATAACCGACGTAGTGATTCCAAGCATTATACAGACCAAATAATAAAACAAGGAATTTCCGCTGAGTTTGCGAGCGCTCCAATATATTGTAGCGCCCAGCAGCATTAATGTTAATGCTGAGATGTCCACACCTATTTACAAGAATGTAAAACGTTCGAGTGTTTTACATTTATAGAGTAAATCACCTTTTTACTTTATTCAACTCACGTGTTTCTGTCATACTCATTGTGTATTTGGGCAAATTAAGAGGGTATACGTGTACACCGATGCATACATCTTCGAATGGACTTATTTTCAATTTGTTATCTTTTTTTGTGTTAAATAGATTAATGCTCCAAGACCGTTGATTATCGTCGTGCTTTTTCCTAACTTCTTCAGGAGTTTTACCATTGTAAAGATCATAATTATCTATATTTATATTTAAGTGCATCTATAATGTAACAAGACACATATGGATGTAACACCATGCAGAAGTCTATGTGTTACGCATGAATTTCAAACTGTTATTTCTTACTGTTAAACTTCTCCACATATGTATCAGATACTTCAAGTTGGCGCTATGACAGAAGATTTGCAACCCAGGTTTGTCATTCTCGACGACATCTCCTGGCTTTAAAAAATGTACTAGAAAAGATGCAGGTAAAGAAAATGAAAGAAACACGTTAAACTTAATAAATGTCACTGTAAAATTTATTTTCGTGACAGAAGAATGAAATATATTTTCAGGATCAATATATATTTCACAATGCTAAACAAAACAGATGGAAAGTATAAATATTTTCATGTATAAAAATAAAACAAGGTCGACTCGTTCACCGTGTAACGTATTACGAATACCTGAATATTCTAACCAGAAATAAGTGACTAAAATAAGCTTTCTTCTTCCCATTTCTGACCATATTCTCTATCGATATAACCGACAACGATAAAATCTCTGTTAAAATTTGAGATGTACGATATAGGTTAGTTCGACTTACCTGTGTCTCTAGTCGTTGCGAATCCTGTATAAAAATAATTACAGATAAATAAAAGAGTAATAACGTTTAACGGTTCGATTATTCTATTGGCCATTTTATTAATCGTGCAAAAATTAATAGCACGTTTTATCGTGAACCCACGTGTTCTATAGACGACATGGCAACATTGTGAATTTAGCATTTGATCGTTTGAAATGTCAAAATCGACACAACCGAATCTCGATAGTAGTAACTTAAATATCGATATTATTCTATCGGATTTCACATCGTGAAATTGAAAATAGCGCGAGTTTTATGGTTGGAAATGTCGAAATATAATACCTGCGAAGAGAGTTAATGATTGAATTCAAGTATCTTTTACCAAATTTAAATGAGTCAATTTATCACGATACAAGGTATATATTTTAGTAATATCGCGTTTGCCACAATTACAACCTATACGTTCATTTCAGTAAATTGTACAAAAAAAAGGATTGATTATTACATTTATTTACATTGATTTCAGTTGGACAATGTGGAAATCAAATTGGCTCAACATTTTGGCCTCTGGCTTTACACGAATACGGCATACAAACAACGAATACTGGGATGAATTTACTTAAAACGCAACGAAATCGTATTAAAAATATGAACGATTTATCCGCTGCGTTTGACAGTTTCTTTACTATACCTGATAATTTGCAGAATTCATGCTTCAAGAGTATAACTGATCTAAAAGATGCTAAAGTCAAAGCAAGGGTATGTACAATACATATATATATTCTTTCTTAACCCTTTTGTAAAGCATTTACACAAGTATTGAACAATACAAATACTCGAGCAGATTTATATTATTAATTTCTTGGTATATAGGCAATTCTAATAGATATGGAAGATAGCGTAGTAGCTGGATTAAGAAGAGGTCCCATATGTGATTTATTCGATCAAACTTGTGTCGTAACAAATTATCCAGGATCTGCAAATAATTGGTATCAGTACATTGCTTGTTTAATTGTCATGATAGATTACTTTTGTAGATGAAAAGTAACTGTAGCAGGTGTAATTTATAGGGCTGTGGGTTATTATACTCACGGGACAGAATATTATGAAAAATTGGAAGATACTATAAGACGTATGGTAGAGAAATGTTCTAAGCTACATGGTTTTCTAATTATGCATTCTCTCGGAGGTGGTACCGGTTCTGGATTAGGAACAGCTGTTTTAAAGTTGTTGGCCAATAATTATCCTACCATAGATAGGTAACATTTTTAGAACATCAGTTTCGAGATCGCATTGTGCTTTAATAACATCTAAGAACATTAATCCATATTATTATAGTTATCGTTATTTTTGTTGGAACTTATTAGTAGTATCATTTACTTTGTAATAGTTTCTACTATTGTTATTATCGTAGGTTAGTATCTTGCATATATCCGATCGTGGTGCAAGATGTTGTTACAGCTCCTTATAACATGTTATTAGCAACACGAGAACTTATAGAATACGCGACATGTGTATTTCCTATTGAAAATGAATCACTTTTGGATATATGCAATGCTGAATTAAGAAAGAGGGAAAACATGGATCAGATAAACTATAACATCTCGTGTAAACCATTTCAAGATATGAACAGTATCGTTGCAAATATGCTTCTTCATTTAACTAGGTAATTACAATAGCTCAACAAATCTTATTAAATAATATTGCATATTTCGAGCATACAGGTGTTTTTCAGCGGATCAAGATTTCCTGGTAATTTAAATATGGACATGAATGAAATAGCAACGAATCTCATAGCATATCCAAAGTTACATTACATATTTAGCAGCTTTAGTCCATTGGCGTTATCTGCACCAACGATGTGCAGCATGCAAGGAACAAAGTATGTATTAACATCCGATATCGTCGCAGAAACCTACCAAACGTTATTTACATTCTAATTTTTCTTTTCTTTTTTAAGGCTACTAGATGATCTATTTACCAATGCATGGTCGCGAAAGAATCAATTAATTAAAGTAGACCCGTTACAATCAGGTTCTACAATTTTAAGCGCCGCACACATTACCAGAGGAAATTGTTCTGTAAACGATTTAAAACGAAACATCGAGAGGTATACGTTTCGTGTATTCCGTGAACGATTGAATTTATCCACGTGTGTTAGTAATCTTTTCGCGTGATCGAATGTAACGCTATGTTTCGGTTCTTAGATTTCGGAAAAAAGTTTCGTTCACGGGATGGAGCAGCGAGGCGATGAAAGTAGGTTTGTGTTCTGTACCTCCAGCCGGACATTCAACCTCCTTGCTGTGTCTTTTAAATTCTTCTGCGATGACATCGTTATTCGAAAATATAATAAAACAGTTTAGCAGGCTGTATAAGAGAAAGGTAATGTCGAGACGTATATGATGTGCGTGACGCGCATACACTAGCACACAGGATGGATCTTGCGAAATTAGAAATAGATCATAGATGGATCATAGGTGGTCAAAGTCGTAATTTATTCGATATTTTCTGAAAGTTACTGAAAGGTATAACGTTTAAAGGGAAAATAGAAGAAAAAAGAATGAAAAATGAATAGATCACGACTGAGACGTTATGGTTTGATCCGTAACATGTAACTTTAGTACATAAAGCTTTTTCAACTATCTAGAAATAAGGAAGATAATCGAATTGAAAATTGTACGAAAACTTTTACACGTTTATGTTGCAGGCACATGTATATCATTATACGCAAGTACGTGGTTTCGAAGAAACGCATTTCATGGATAGTAAAGAGATAATTTCAAACCTGATTATGCAATACGCAGAATTACAAAATGAAAATGAAAAGAGTATCCCCCGATTACAGATCGTTTAAAATTTTCGATTAAACGATTTTATTTATTAATCTCAGCTATACATTAACAACCGGAACATAACGGTGTAAGAATAAGATATCTATCGACAAGAACGAAATTACGTTACTCGAATGGAATCGAGGGTTATTTGGGGGAATTTGCATCGATAAATTTGGAAATTTGAAATATTTAGTACGCTATACCACGACATACGTAAAAGGATATTAAAAGTTGAAAATCGCTGAATGACCAACCGTCTTTGGATATATCGATATACGTAACGTTAACCCGTACGGATAGAATGCTTTAGCTAGCCGGTATTTGTGGCAAACCAAACTCGTCGACCAGAACGCCGTCCTAGAAGGAAAAGATTGTCTTTTAACGTAAATCATGGAAATTGTTATCCGATATTCCATCGATAAAAAGTTAATGAGAGGTGTTTTTAATCTAACATAAGGAATGTAGAATTATTATAAGTTATCGATACAAACCTTATTTCTAACAGAGCTAGTACCAGGTTCTTTGTCAGGTGCACTAGGCGCCTTGATAGCATCGTCCAAATAACTAGTGTCTTCGTCGATGGCTAAATCATCTCCAAGAGCTTCCAATTCGGCTGCTAATTCATCCTCGTCTACATCCGGCATACCGTAACTGCGACCCATCGCTTCTTGCACTTCGTCGGCTTGTTCCAGCATGTCGGCCAAGTCGTCTTGAAGATCCTAGACAAAGTATCAACGCACCGTTGTAAAAAGAAAAAGAAAAAGAAAAAGAAAAAGAAAAAAAAGTATGAAGGAAAAAGACGACCGTAGAAGAACGTGACTCGAAAGATACCTCGATCTGATCTATATTGATGTTTTTAAATTCTTTCTGCATTTGTTTAACTCCTTCCTTCATAGCAACCACAGTCGCTTGAGTATCCTTTAATGTTTGAGTGGCAAAATTCGCTTGTTCCATGTTAAAAGCCTGTTGGCGTAAGTTATCCACCTGTGCCTCGTACATTTTACGCTGTTTTAGAATGCGCATTGCTTTGGCTTTAACCGCATTCTTTGCAGGGCCTTCTCTCATTTTAACCATTTGATCTTTATATTTCTTTAATTCCGCATCTAATTTTGCTATTTTTTTCTCCGCGGAGTCTGCCCTGCTATCAACCTTTTAACACGATAGCGTTAATTACGTTTTACACGTATATACATAAGTGGATAGAGTAATACATAACCTCTTGGATGGTAGAAGGAAAGTTGATATTTACCCCGGCGATACAATCAGTGATACTCGGCGACGGTTCCTTGGCTTTGGGCCGACCAAAGAGTCTATTCATCTTGCCGAAAGAGACGTAACAACGTAAAATACGTTAATCTCCTTCCCTTTTAGTAAAAACGTTTGCGTTCCTTGTTCGTTACTCAAGTTCACTCGAAATGTCAAGTTTGACTGATTCACGCAGTTGCTTGCTCCATCTATAGTCATCACGTAGAACACTTATCAATTACTCGAATAATTTTACGCGGGATTTCGATATTTTTTCATTAATGCGAAGTAGAAAGAAATTGAATCGATTTCACCGTTGATCTCGGTACCGTTATATAACGTAACAAGGTGTTATCGATCAGAAAAAGAAATTCGTAAACATTTATTCGTGCGAACGAGTGTAGATGTTTCAGCTGATCGAAAAGCGGAAACGGACTTGTTCGACGCAAAGAAGAGTAAAAGAATTCGAAGCGCGTGGCTCAAGTTATCGTTAGACGCGTTTAAAGAAACTTGGGATAATGGCGTAAACTCGGTCGGTAGGTAACCGTAGGTAGGGGTATACGTTGGAGCGGAAGATAGTGGACGAAAAGAAGGAACGGGGCGCTTGCGTCGCGTAGATATTTGAAAATCACGTGGAACCGCGGCAGCTCGAGAAGTCTAGTGCTTAAAGTACAATGCGAAGGGGAGGATAACGAATGAGAAAGGGTCGAATGAACGATGACGGTGGTGGTAAGGTTCACTGGTAGTGACGATGACGACGTCGACGACGGCGACGGAGGTGACGGTGATGGTGGTGATGGTGGTGATGGTGGTGATGGTGGTGGTGGTGGTGGTAGTGGCGGTGGTGGTGGTAGCTGCGGCGGTGGCGGCGGTGGTGGCGGTGGTAGTGGTGGTGACGATGACGGTGACGGCGGCGGTGGCGGTAGCAGGCGGCGGTGGCGGCGGCGGTTGGAAGCGAAACGGTAACGCGCGTGCGTGAGCGACGTCGCCGCGCGACGCAGCAGCGACGTAGCGACGACGACGTCGACGAGGACGAGAACGAGGACGAAGCGGCGGCCGAAGATCGCCGAGCGGACGGCTACGCGGAGAGACTCTACGGCTGGCATGGTGGTGTGGGCCGTAGCACGGCCACAGTGTTCGAAAAGTCGGCAGCACGCACGAATCGTGTTACGCGCGACGCAGAGCGACGAAGCTGCGTGGACGAATCGCGGTCGCCTGGCCACCGATCGAGTGCTCCGTCGAGCGCAGCGAAGAAACGCGAACAAGCAGCCGGCTGTCCGATTACGGATCGATCGAATCTACTACGAGGGCCGGAGAACTCGAGACTCTGTTGGCGAATCGACAGCTACGACGTATCGTACTAAAAATCGTGGCACGTGAACGAACAGGAGCAGTGCGGTGGGCAAACGATAAATCGCGAGTGGTCATAGTACGCGAGTTGCCAATGAGAAGCAGCGCTAGGTGGAACGAAGACAAGCCGAGACGGTAAGTTCGGCGGATATCGGAGAGGACGCGCAAAGTCATCGTCGGAGATGGAAAACGGCGAGAGGGTTTATACGGTAGCCTAGAGAGAAGAATGGTAACCGGTGGTGCGATAGTGTGGTAGGAGATTTTCCGGACCGGAGAGGAGCGGATGGGTAGAAGTCGGGTGAATTTGGCTGGCGCGCGATAGAGAGTGGTGGTCGTAGGAGGACCGAGGGATCCGAGGTTGCTCGCGGCGACTGGATCGATCGGCCGCGGGCGATCGGTAATCGGGAAACGGGTGGCGATTAACGAGAACGCGAGTGTCGAAGAGAGGATGACGGTGGATTTCGACGCGGACCAGAAACGGTCCCGGATCCCTATTTTCGTGGAGATTGCCTAGTTCGGTGGCGAAGCAAACGTGCAGTAGAGTGGCGTTGGTTGCGCGGTGCCGCGTACGCTACGCAACGACCAACGACGATCCCGGCCTCGTTTCGCGTAGTACGTGCGGTATGTGTGTCTGCGTGCGTGCGTGCGCGTGTGTGCATGCGTGTGTACGAGTTGGTGCGTGCGTGAAACGCGACTGAAGGAATCGACGAATAGTCGCGCTACCAGACGAAAGGTCGCGTTGTCTCGCGCGTGTACTCGCGAGAATTCCAAGTAGCTCGGCGTATATTCGTCAAGGGGGGTAAATTATGTTGACAAAACAGCGAGCGAGTAATACCGGAAAGAGACGTTAGACCATTGGACGAACCGTTTGAACGATACGGTAGCTCGACGTCGAACGACGATGGTCATCGAGCGAGCGAGCGAACGGGCGGTCGTTCGATAACCGAGAGAATGCTCTACGGAAACAAAGTCGCTGCCGAATAACACCACCGTGGCGCGTCTTTCCCTTGTTACAATCGGTCCCAACCTTATCGATGGATTATCGTGTCCGAAACGAGAAAAAGGAACAGGCAGAGTGTGCGTGTATGTGTGTGTATAGAAGGAAGAGAGAGCAAGAGAGAAAGAGAGAAAGAGGGAGGAAGAAACAGAATACGCGTTAGGTCACGAAAGAACGTGCGATCGAAGCGCGTTGAAAGGAGGGAGGAACGTCGAGGAAAAGGGAACG